ACACACACACACACACACACACACACACACACACACACCAGGCACCAGGTGCTTAAGGGTCATTGTGGAAAAGGAGATTAAAAAAAGTTGTAAGAGCAAAAGACCAGGATGATGATTAGGAAAAACAGCATTCTCCAGACACAATGGGGCAGTTGCATAAATGTTCAGTGCTTATGCACAAAATCTGTGCATGCTCAAAGCATACAAAATCCCACCATGGAGTAAGAGAGGTTAGCATGAAACTCTACCCCTAAACATGGAACTATTGGCAATTTGAGACTTCTGGGTGAGGGAGAGTCAATTTTCTTTAAGAGTGTGGCCCCTGGTAATTCAATCATGCTTTGATGGAAGACCACACACCCAAGAGTATATGGGCAGCACAAATTGTATTTGGTGTGTGTGTGTGTCTGTGTGTGTGTGTGTTTGTTTGCGCATTTGTTTGTTTGTTTATTTGTTTGTTTGTTTGTTTTAAGGAAATAAAAAATGTAAAACTGTATAGGTAGGAAAGGGAGTAGTGAACCTGGAAAGAGTATGAAGAGAGGATAAATGTGGTAAAAATATGTTGTGTGAAATTCTCAAAGAACTAATATAATTGCATAAATAAAATTTTAAAAAAACACAGGAAGAGGCTCCATCACACATTCTAATTAGTCTTCTGGGATCCTAATTAGTTTCCATATCTTAAAGTACAAAAGATAAAAGTCCATCGTGAGCCTAATGGACAGGAAATAAAAACAAGCACAAAACAGCAAGAGAGTTAGGGCTGAAGTTTGGATAACAGGCCTATGTTGCTCACTCAGCAAAGACTGGGTAAGCCATGTATGATGTCATATACCTATAAGCCCATGATGATACTCATGATGATCTGGCAGTAAAAATATCATAAGCTAGCTTCCCAGATGAGAGAGGTGTCTGTTAATCCAGTAAAACCTCAAAACTTGGGAGAAAAAGTTATCTCTGGGGTGCTTGGGGTTGCTGCATCCAGAAAACTTGGAGTGTCCTCATGAGCACTGAAAGCTGCTGAACAACATCATTATCTGTGTATTCTCTTCATGCTGTTCTGTGGGTCATTAGTAAGAGGGGACTTCCATCTGTGGTCATCGTGTGCCTAGCACTGAACCTTTCAAGTGAATGAGGAGACATCGTGCCATCTTAATGATGGAGACAAAGGTTTCCGGAAAGAATGGAACCTCAAATTCCCTGCGGCTGCTGCGGCTGCTGCTGCTGCTCCTGCTGCTACTTCTGCTGCTGCTGCTGCTGCTGCTGATGATGATGATGATGATGATGCTAAAAAATGGCTATTTAATGTGCCAACAAAGCAACATCATTGGCTTCCTAGCCCTATGAGAAGCACACATACATACACACACACACATATATTTTATAGATACATACATCAACAAGCTTTGTTACATGCCTCTTGAAAACAAATACTAGATTACAGAAATTAGAAAGTCCTGTGGGCTCTTTGGTTGTTTGTTCCTAAACAAAGACGCCGGGCAGAGGCTGACAAATGGGCAAAGTAGAACACGGTCCCCGGGGATTCCGCGTCACAGTGAAGGACTGTTAAGCACATACAGAAATCCAACTACCCATAAAATCAAACCGGCTCTTCTGTAGCTACCTCCTCCCGCACATCCCTGGCTGCTACTCTGGGCAAGCTTCCCAAATGAAATGAGAGTAATTGTCTAGAAAGTGATTGCGAAGATGCAGCCATGTGGATCGTGCCTTGGGGGACCACTCTGACAGGGCCAGCCACCAAACGTTACCCCCAAAGGTGGAAGCGACAGTGTGCAGAACTCCACCTCAGCGAGACAAGCAGGTGTGACAGGTCTGGGGAGCAGCTGACAGCCCACGTCACATCTCTCTCAGCTCCTTATTCAGCCCTCATCAGGATAAGATTTCTTCCCCCTGCACTGGGGCTTCCCACATACAATAGGCAGGAACTCATATGTCTGCTCATAATTTTCACACTTCACATTCTTTTTCATAAAACATGATCATGCCTTGGTTAATCTGGGAAAGCCTTCTGCAGGAAGAAAATGCCAAATTCTTGTTCTCTGGAATACAGTTTCAGTACACACATACATACATTGTATTGACACGCATGCCACAATTTACAGACATTGTCTGTAACGTAGATACTCATCCTGATTATCTGGACCAGTTAACAACATCAAAAAATTAGATCACATGATGCACTCTGACATAATCATACCTAAAGCTGGCCCCTTGACCTGGCAAGATGGGTCAGTGGGTAAACAAAGGCACTTCCCCTGGAGCATGATGACTTGAGTTTCATCCCTGGGCCCACATGGTAGAAGAAGAGAACCAAAACCTGAAAGTTCTCCTCTGACCACCATGTACCAACTGTGGCACGTGTGTTCATGTACACCCTACACACATGCACACACACTGATAATCAGTATAGCAGTAAATGTAACATATACACACACTAGTAACTAGTATAGAGGTAAATGTAATAATTTTTAATTAGCAACTATGTTCACTTATGTATGCCTTTCTGGAAATATAGAACAAATAAAATACACTATACATGTGTGTGTACATGCATACATACAGTAATTTGCCAATAAAAAGATAGCAAAGTAAACACACACACACATATATATATACATACACAAAGCCGTGTTTATTATTTGATTTTTAGGAAGACATACAACGTTACTAGACCTATTGCTCAGAGTGTCCTCTTCTTCTATGTAAATCCCTTATCTTACATAACCCCCTCCTCTTCCACTCTCCTAGCTCTAAGATTCATGGGTTTCATCTTTTCTGACTCTTTTGACTATGATCAAGTACATTTGTCCGTGCTTTCTCTTAACTCATGAACAAATTCTCTTGATAAACATCAGGGCTAATAGTGCCCCGAGTTGTATCCAGTACCAGTTCACGAACCGAAAAATGGGTATGGACCCAGTTTTGTCTCAATTCAAATCTCAGCCACACTGCTTTTAATTGATAGAATTTTAGAACAGCGGTTCTTAACCTGTTGGATGCAAACTTTCTTTTTTTTGGTGGGGGGGGATAAACAATCCTTTTGCAGGGGTCACATATTAGATATCTTGAATATTAGAAACTTGTATTACAATTCATAACAGTAGCAAAATTATAGCTATGACGTAGTAATGAAATAACTTTGTGGTTGGGGGTCACCTCAATATGAGGAGCTGTATTAAAGGGTCACAGCATTAAGGAAGGCTGAAAACCATTGCTTTAAACAAACTATACCTCATTTTTTCCTCCTCAAAATCAGAAATAATAATAGTTACTATAGCATCATGGTTTTGTTACCCTCAGGTAATAATACCTATGAAGAGTTAAGAATGTAAGTTGGCACACGGGAAGGGTTCAATAAGGAATTTCTAGTATGAATGGACTATTATAGGTGGTAATAAAGTTGAGTGGTGAGGATTTCTATCTCCCCCAGTCTCCTGTATCAAACACTTTGGATTTCTTTTTTAATTATGTTTTGAATGTTTTTTTGTTGTTTCTGTTCTTGTTATCAGTGAAGCTATAGAACAAAAGTGCCTAAAGGGAAGAACAAACCAATTTAAAAAGAAACCAGAATGAAGCTTATTTTCAAAAACAACATCAGATAAGAAGCTAAACTGACCACACACTGGTAGAAGAGTTTGCAACAAGGTTGGCAAAAAGATCCACGATTAATCATATTTAATAGGAGAATCCTTACCTGGAACTCCACTTGGTGGGTTAACTCGATACACGACGGGGGTCTGCACCCTGGAAAACTGTTTAGAAAGTATTAGGACAAGTGAGCATTTCATTTCAATATACTTGACCACAAGAGCCACAAACTATTCCCCATAAAGCACTAGGGAAAATCAGGATGCTGTTCCCTAATCACTTGATACCTAATTCTTTCTATCTATCCTCGTGCTGTTTCCACGAATCAGGGATAACAGGCTTCTGCAGATAAATTAAAGGGATCTGATCAAGGTCGCATACATTACTCCTCTGTACCATACTGTTCAAATCTTGCCAGTCTGTTTCTACCCACCTGCCTGCCACACCCAGGGACACATTTTACAGGAAAGAAAGGTAGACAAGGCACTGCCCAGAATGTCACTCCTTTGATTCCATTGTTATAATTTAATGTCTTTGAGTCTTAAAGATTCATATTTACCTAGAAAATAATTAGTTTTTTTTAAGCCGAGAGGAGTGTGGATTTAAATTATTGTCAATTAGCAACTATATAAAATAATAAGCCAAATATACATGAGTAAAATTGGAAGAAAAAAAAAAAGACACAGAAGGTGCCTGCATTGTGGGAAAATGTTCAAGAACTAGGAAGGAGAACTGTTCTTCAAGAAGGAAGTCGTGGCTAAACCATGGCTCAGTGAATAAAGCTCATGCCATGTAAGCATGAAGACCTGAGTTCGAATCCCCACAACCCAAGAAAAGTCAGGTGTATCTTCTGTATCCCAGTTTCCTAGGGTGATGTGGGAGGGTGCAACAAGAGACACTCTGAACAACAAAGAGATGCCGACTCAAACAAGATAGAACCCAAAGACAGAAACCCAAGATTCTCCCTTGACTGCCAAATGTTCATCAAGGCCACACACGCACACACAAAAGAGGTAAACACTATTGACGGGAGAAGTGGAAACCCAAAAACAACTTGCAATGTCCCTTTCTTTTTTTTTTTTTAATATTTTTTTTTATTTTATTTTTCTTTTTAGTTACATTTTGTTAACTCTGTGTCCCAGCTGTATCCCGCTCCCTCATTCCCTCCCCAACCCCGCACTCCCTCCCTGGTCTCCTCCCTGCCCCTTTCCAAGTCCCCTGATAGGGGAGGACCTCCTCCCCTTTCATCTGACCCTGTTTTATCAGGTATCTTCAGGGCTGGCTGCAAAGTCCTCCTCTGTGGCCTAACAGACTGCTCCTCCCCGGGGGCGGGGGTGGGGGCGTCAAACAGCCTGCCCTTGAGATCCTGTTAGAAATAGTCCGTGTTCCCCTCACTTTGGAAAACTACTTGGTTACTGAGCTACCACAGGCCACATCCGAGCATAAGTTCTAGGTTATATCCATAGATGGTCCTTGGTTGAGTGTCAGTCTCAGAAAAGACCCTGTGCCCAGATATATTTGGTCCTTGTAGAGCTCCTATCCTTTCCATATCATACTAACTTCCCTTCTTTCATATGGTTCCCTGCACTCTGCCAAGGGTTTGGTTATGATTCTTAGTATCTGCTTTGAAACACTGCTAGGTAGAGTCTTTCAGATGCCTTTTGTGGTAGACTCCTGTCATAAGTTCAATGCACATCCCATTTGTCTTTCTAAATGAGGATTAATCACCTTCGCCTGTGTCCACTTTCTTGATTATCTTCTTTAGGTGTGTAGATTTCATTATGTTTATCATGTCTTGTAGGTCTATATAAGCGAGTATATACCAAGTTTGTCTTTCTCCTTCTGGGATACTTCACTCAGAATGATCTTTTCTAGATCCCACCACTTGCCTGCAAATTTCATGATTTCCTCCTTTTTGATTGCTGAGTAGTATTCCATTGTGTAAAAATACCACAATTTCTGTATCCATTCCTCCGTTGATGGACATCTGGGTTGTTTCCAAGTTCTGGCTATTACAAATAAAGCTGCTACAAACATGGTTGAACAAATGTTCTTGTTGTGTACTTGAGCAAATTTTGGGTATATACCTAGGAGTGGTATAGCTGGGTCTTGAGGTAGCACTACTCCTAGTTGTCTGAGAAAGCGCCAGATTGACTTCCAAAGTGGTTGAACCAGTTTACATTCCCACCAGCAATGGAGGAGGGTTCCCTTTTCTCCACAACCTCTCCAGCATGTGCTATCACTTGAGTTTTTCATCTTGGCCATTCTGATGGGTGTAAGGTGAAATCTCAGGGTCGTTTTGATTTGCATTTCCCTAATGGCTAATGAGGTTGAGCATTTCTTTAAGTGTTTCTCTGCCATTCGATGTTCCTCTTTCGAGAATTCTCTGTTTAGCTCTGTTCCCCATTTTTTAATTGGATTACTTGGTTTGTTGTTTTCTGCTTCTTTAGTTCTTTATATATACTGGATATTAGCCCTCTGTCAGATAAAGGGTTGGTGAAGATTCTTTCCCAATCTGTAGGCTGTCTATTTGTTTTGATGACAGTGTCTTTTGCTTTACAGAAGCTTTTCAGTTTCATGAGGTCCCATTTATTGATTGTTGCTCTTAGAGCCTGTGCTGTTGGTGTTCTGTTCAGGAAGTTGTCTCCTGTGCCAATGAGTTCTAGGCTGTTCCCCACTTTTTTTTCCAACTGATTTAGAGTATCTGGTTTTATGTTGAGGTCCTTGATCCACTTGGACTTTAGTTTTGTGCAGGGTGATAAATATGGATCTATTTTCATTTTTCTGCATGTAGACATCCAGTTGGTCCAGCACCATTTGTTGAAGATGCTGTCTTTTTTCCATTGAATGGATTTGGCTTCTTTGTCAAATATTGAGTATTCATAGGTGTGTGGGTTTATTTCTGGGTCTTCTATGCG